TTATTTCATGTACATCACAAAGCCTTCGTAAACGTGACAGCTGAAATCGACAGAATCGTTTGAAGCGAATGTTTATTCCGGTGCAGGTATCATGTATCTGTAGGTTCTACTACACTAAATCAGAATCACATGCTCCCTGCGCGTGACCCGTTGGTAAACAAGTCAAGAGAGACAGAGACATGTGACAGCTGTGATTTGATGAAATAGTGTAAGATGTTTGTCTTTTAAAAGCACATCCAACCAGTAATTGAAAATGACCACAATTTTAAGTATTTAGTGCTGTCATTTTTATCACCATCACTTATGCTTATTGTGTGTACAGATATTTTCCAGTAGGCCATTTCTGGTGTCCCCCGCCTTGATGTTGCTGGAATATTGCTAAAAGCGGCGTAAAACCAAAAGTCAGTCAGTCAGTCAGTCATACAATATCAAAAATAAAATATCAAAATTAATTCTTATGAGTGCCTATAAAATCATGCTTTAAATATTTCAGATTTTTTATTAAGAGATGCATGGGATCTTGAATTGAATTACCTTCCTCCATGTGGATCGAATACGAAAACTATGTGAGAAGAATAGTGACTTTCTGGAGAATTGGAAAGAGTGAAATAAAGTGTATTATGAAAATATTCACATATATTGGTACATTTTAGGAGTAATATTACAACTGCCATTTTTATTAATTCACTGGATATGATAGCAAGGTATGTTTTATGAAACATGCTTTCTATAGTAAATGTGAAAGGGTAATAAAATAAATAATAATCTAATCAATTATAAATAATTATTTAATTGATTGACATATCAGATTCATATGATTTTAAGGCAGAACTAGGCAAGCAAACACTGTGCATATCATGGCCGGGCAATCACTTGGTATTAACTTAGTTTGTTGGCTCCTGCGTTTAAATGTATTTTAAATAATATATTTACTAATAAGATAATTTCAAAAGTGATTGCTAGTATCATAACTCATCAAAGTTATTTCAACATTCAGAGAATTTGAAAAACAAAGACTACGTTTTGGTCACACCCTGGTCAGGCATTATTCAGTCCTGGAACAGAATAACTTTTTAAAGTTACAACAATCTCAGTTGACTATTCATGTAACGGAATGAATATTGAAACATATATTTAACCCAGATTTGATGGAATTCTTCTTATTAATCATCAGCTTTTGAGGACGTTACTAATATTTGAAGACTAAACCAAAGCTAGTGTTTATTAAGATGTTGGTTTTGGACAAATTGTTCAAGGTTTGTTGATGGTTATTTTGAAAATGAGCTTCATATTAAATTGCACACTGGTTTGTAGGAGGTGAGCGCTTCAAGACAATTTCATGTGTGTTTTCCTAAACTTTTGTTATGACTTTCATCAAATTTTGAATCAACTTTACTATATTTTTTATGACAGTAGTAAGTATCTCAGAAAAGGAAATAGATCACAATTAGTGGTATGTCCTCCAGCGATATAGTCTCAGATCTAATAAAATAAAGATGATCATTGTTTAAGAAGCAATTATGTCAATATGTAATTGTATTGACGAGAAGCTTGAACATAGGATATATTCTATTTACACTAGTAGTTAGCAGTTAAATATCTCTGATGAAAAAGCGATATATTTGTATTTTGTGTAGCATTCTATTTCAATGCTAGTCAATTGTTTGGATAACTGTACTGTGGATCCTCTGTTCAAAGATTTTGCATCACTGGTTTCCTGTTTCTAGAAGATGGGTCAGTGTACAGGTGCAGACTGAATCTTGGATCTTCTTTGTGTTCTGGTGCTGTGACATACCTGTACATAAACGCTGGCAGTTCATGAAGTCCAGTATTGTGGAAATTTGTATGTAAATTAGGATTCCACAACAAAGTACATATAGAAAAATAAATTGGAAAGGATGATTAAAAAAGTGGATTTTTTTCCTCATATTCAGTGTCATTTTTGGATGGTGTACAGATTTTGAAGAAGGAAACCTTACTGAGAATTGCTGCAGATCAGCTGCTGAATATTTGCTTCTGGGTATGTCCAGATACATCCATGGAAACATACCGTTTACAAGCCCAATCACATTTTCCAGATTTCCAAATAAGATCAAATATGTTATGCTGTGACTGATTTGTTTACATTAATATATATTAATGTATACAGACAAATAAGGTGCACGAAGTAGTAGACGGGAAATATTTTCTGTTTTGTTTCTATTTACCATTCTTTTAATTCATTAAAAGATAGAAACCCTTGTTTTCAGATTATTGATTTTACTAAATTTGAACAACACATAAATAAGTAAAGGCGCCACGCGCAGCGTTGACAATCTATTTATAGATACCGAAACGATCTGCAACATGAACATCATTTAAATGTGGTTGTGTTCACGGTTTTTATAAAATTATGATGGGGATTTTAAAAAAACACACCAAACAACAAAATTAATTTACGCTTCCCCTGCTAATATCTTTGACGGAGGTGAATAGCCAGATAGATTAATGGAATCGAAAGAAAATACTCTTCTACTCTCAGCAGCTGGCCGAGACGATTTTTCATCGGGCATGTTACTCATTTTCACTCGCCAATTGCAATCTGCCAATTAAAATATATTAAAAATCACATACGTATAACTTGCCTCTTTAAATATCATTCACAAACGACGGATACCAAAGTACCACAAGCAGAATTCATCAACAACGTTCGCAGTCACGCACGTTTCGCCGGCGGTAAAGCCATTGTGATTAGTCAGTGGTTGTTCCCCCTAACGTCAAAAACGAAGTGGGCGGGGCTTATCGGCCGGGACTGGATCGGTCTATTAGCACTATGTACTGTATTCAAGAAGAAATTACGAGTACTGTTAGGTCAGTCCAGTCCAGTCCTTCACTTGCAAGAGGATGACAAGATGACAACCATATAAGGATGCATCATTGGAGTTGCTTCCCTTGACCATATCTGCCTAGGCAACAATTGCCGTAACTCAGTGATGGATCTGCAATGCGTTATTCCCCTTTTCTCAGAAGCAACATTAAAAAGAACAACCACGTTACACTAAATGTTCCGTATCGCCTGAATGAATCGTTGTCACTTAATGGGTATTAGAAACAAAGACGATGTTGGTATTCCAGTGGTTCTACCTACTATCATCAAGCAGCTGTCTTCGTTAATTCATAATCTCCATTATATATGATTATACTACAAGTAGCTATGGCTAGAATATCTGTTGAAGGAGGTGTTACAGTACCCTACACACCCGCTTACTATTGTACTTAACATGCCACTGCATTCCATCTCATGACATCTACACAATCGGAGGTGTTGGTTGCGCTTTCGTTGATATCATTGCGCCGTCACTGACAAATTGTACCTCACTGTCTGTATTGAATCAACATATACGAATTTTTATATATGCTGATTTATGGAGATGTAATTTTTTTTAAATAAAACATTCAGTGAGTCACTGGTTGTTGTGTAGCTCGCTGTTCCCCGATGTGTGTGTGTAGCTCGCTGTTCCCCGATCTGTGTCGCTCGCTGTTCCTGTTCCCCGATCTGTGTAGCTGCTGTTAGTAGCTCGCTCGTGTAGCTCGCTGTTCCCCGATCTGTGTGTGTAGCTCGCTGTTCCCCGATCTGTGTGTGTGCTCGCTGTTCCCCCCGATCTGTGTGTGTATTCCCTGATCTGTAGCTCGCTGTTCCCCGATCTGTGTGTGTGTAGCTCGCTGTTCCCCGATCTGTGTGTGTAGCTCGCTGTTCCCCGATCTGATCTGTGTGTGCTGTTCCCCGATCTGTGTGTGTAGCTCGCTGTTCCCCGATCTGTGTGTGTAGCTGTTCCCCGATCTGTGTGTTCCCCTGTTCCCCGATCTGTGTGTGTAGCTCGCTGTTCCCCGATCTCTGCTCGCTGTTCCCCGAGCTCGCTGTTCCCCGATCTGTGTGTGTGTGTAGCTCGCTGTTCCCCCACCGATCTGTGTGTGTGTCCCCGAGCTCTCTGTTCCCCTAGCTCGCGATCTGTGTGTGTAGCTCGCTGTAGTCCTCGGGGATGTGTGGTTACTCTATGGCGTCCTGAGCTGGCAGTATACATAGCCTTATGATTAGCAAATATTTCAAATGGGGTTTCAGCATGGATGTATAACTAAATTTGCGCAAATTCCAAACATTGACGCTTGTTAGTTTCTACACATGGATTACTTTGAATGGGTTTGTAGTGTGTATCACCCCGGCTATGGACACATTAGAAAGAGAAGCCTGATATGTAAATACGTTGGTTGTGCCTCCTGATAACTATGACTGCCTTTGTGCACTTACGGATTGTCCCACATAACAACGCGGTAATGTATGTGTTTCCCATAATTCAGGAATATCATTTCATCCAGACTGAGGCGCTGGGGTTATTTAAGCGTTCGCTCGTCACGCCGAAGATCCGGGTTCGATTCCCCAGATGGGTACAATGTGTGAATCCCATTTCTGGTGTCGTCCGCCGTGATATTGTTGGAGTATTGCTAAAAGCGGCGTAAAACTCACTCACTCACCTAATCAAATTATACAAATGTATGATTCAAGGAGTAACTGGGAGGTTTTGAACCTCAGGACGAAGGTTGTATAGAGACTGTCCCATCTGCATCTTTGAAGTACAACACTTTCCATGACTACATCCTGCAACAGCACAATGTATATTGATAGAGATACCACAGTGCCCACATTACAGGTGGCCGCCGAGGTGCAGCATTGTATCCGCCCAGATACCACGATCACGTCCTGTAGTTTGACCATCCTCATGACAAAGAAACCCAGCCCTATATCGCGTTATCTTTAGAATTTCAATATCCCAAGCAATCTTTGCATTGAATACCGGTGGGTGCATCACTAGGCGTACGCATGTGTATGCAGATACCAACGTTTGTTGATAACATTTTACCGTCACATGCTTCAGTGTCTATGAACTGTGACGCGTCTATTGTACCAGGAAGTTCGCATCGATGTTTATACGGATTTAGGGTTGGTGATGAGGCATGTTGTGATTACGTTATCCATTACGTTAGCTGATGTTATTCTTATACTTTTGGAATTTCTACTGATGTGTGGGTGTATGACGCATCATTCAACGTGTTGTGTTGCGACTATGGAGAAGGGTAGGTCAGATTTATAGGACGGAGTCAGTAACAGAAACACAAGTTACGGCCATGGAGAGTTTCTGGTGCCATATGTCCATCGCCATGATGTTGTCCGCATCCCGTATATATGGTAAGTTGACGAACACAGTAATAGTGTTCAATAACACAAAATAGTTTTGAAATCATTTTATAGAATTGAATTGTTTTCTTCTCAATAGCCGAGGTTTTAACAACGTATATAAATAAGGTCATTGCTATAAACTTGTGCGCTTTTATATCACGTTCCACTTCAGAAGAATCGATCAGTTGGACAATGAAAACAGACAATAAGTACTTTGAGAAAACAACTCTATGGCTTTGTACAGAAAGATGAATGAGAAAATAATAAGTTAGACGGAATATTGGGAATATTTGAAACCTAGTGAAAGGTAGTGGTCGATAGACGGAATATTGGGACCATTCTTAAGTTGTTGGGGTTTTTTTACCAAGAAATTCATGATTCATGTCCAGGGTGGATGGAATATTCCAGAGATTGAATTGATGGATCAGTTTTTCCAGGGAAGGAAATTTATAACCGTTGGTGATGAGACAGAAAAAATACTAAATAACATAAGGTCGCTACAAACGGATAAAGGACACTCCTGGAAGGATTCCAAGATTAATATCACTACCGTTCATCACGCCGGTAAACACGTTTACAGGGACATTTGGCACAATCCCCAGGAACCACGCCCATGTATGTAATTCACAATGTTATAGTTTGACGTCTTTATACACAAAGAAAATTCATCAAGATTGTTATTCGACCTGCATGTGGAATACATGATTGTGTGGTGTGTGTACAATAAAGTTCTAATGTAAGTGGCCAGTCTTGGTAGAAGTCTCACGTTACGTTATAACACAATTACTGAATCTCTAGCACACACGTTCTGGCTGACTGAAACACTGACTGAACTATGGAATGAAATAATAATAAGATTATCAAAGCACCAAGGTCATTTGATAACATTTATATCACAAAGACGGAAAGGAACCCCAATATGTACAAACAGCTGGCAATACAATTATAATTGCCACTGGATGTTCCTGATATCTTCATGCTTCATAAATATTTTGTTCAACAATAATATAAATCATCATTCATTCATAAATATTATTGTCATCAGCACCGCAACAAAATACAAACATTTCTATCATCTTCCACAGATACTAACATTTCAATCATCATTCATTCATAAATATTATTGTCATCAGCACCGCAACAAAATACAAACATTTCTATCATCTTCCACAGATTCAACCCTCAGCTGTGTTAGGAACCTACAACCTTGAGTTCGAATCCCGATCACTATGACACTTGTAATGCTGTATTATATCATGTGACCAGACTATTTACATAAAGGAAAGTTACACAGAGGGTGTTCATATATTTAGTGTTCGTAGTGTGCGACAGGAACATTCTTTGAGTGGCATTGGTGACAGGGTTAGCATCTACACCGAAACGTCACTTACAATTTAATAATACAAAAGTTGTTTATTCATAGAACTTTCCCAGGTGTGTTGTTTATCAACAGGATCTATAAGTCTTACAAGCTCGAACCACAGACGGGCCAGTATACCCTCGTGTGTGATAGTGACATCGGCACTGACGGGGGCCGCACAATCACGTGGTTTAGAAACGAAAGTAAAATCTTTAAGACTACAGCGGGACCTATGGCATCCTGTACCCTGGAACCCAAGTCTGTCTTCGTAGACATCACCAGTGTTAGCTGTACATCAACGAGGCACACCGTGACGTTCAGACTTAGTTCCGGTGCTGACGATGGCGCTGAGTGGTGGTGTGAGGACACGGCAGGGGGTCAAACAAGCACCAGCAATCACTTGAAACTAGGTGAGTACAGAATTATAGGAATACACGTGCTTAAAGAATACCTGAATAGCTGTGTGGACTACAAATGCGCAGCGTTTATCTATACAGGCTTAGAGTCTGTCGGTTCATGAAACTGCACATGCTTTGTGTATATGCGCTTCTTGGACTACACATTTTTAGCCTTTATCTGTATGGGGAAGTAGACTAGATCAGTGACATGACAAGTAAAGTTTGCGATTCTGCACATCTTTGCGATTCTGAAAATTTGAGAATTCTGATTTGAAAAGCATATTTCCACACAATCTTGTTTTAAGGCATTTGTATTACTCAACATATTATCTCTGACGAAGTTAACCTAAAACTATCAATTTATTTTAGAATTCAGAATTCGACCACTTTTATATAACCGGTACCTGCATGGACCATTCGTGTTTTGAGGCAAATAATAATTTACATATTCCTTAGAATCTGAGCATAGTGCATAGCGTGGCAGTAGCACAGCTTCAAATGATAAAGTTATTGTTTCAACAGAAAGCACCACTGTCACACCATCCACTGAAAATACTTCTTGGAAAGGTGGAATATCCCCTGGAATTGAAAACACCAGTGGTTCAACAGGACGTACCACCATCGCATTATCTACAGATAAATCATCGCCTGGCAGAACACCATCTAGAACTGAAAACATCAGTGGTTCAACAGGAAGTACCACCATCGCCTCATCTACTGAACGCAGGTCATCGCCTAGTAGAACATCATCTAGAACTGAAAACATCAGTGGTTCAACAGGAAGTACCACCATCGCCTCATCTACTGAACGCAGGTCATCGCCTAGTAGAACATCATCTAGAACTGAAAACATCAGTGGTTCAACAGGAAGTACCACCATCGCCTCATCTACTGAACGCAGGTCATCGCCTAGTAGAACATCATCTAGAACTGAAAACATCAGTGGTTCAACAGGAAGTACCACCATCGCCTCATATCTACAGATAAATCATCGCCTAGCAGAACATCATCTAGAACTGAAAACATCAGTGGTTCAACAGGAAGTACCACCATCGCCTCATCTACTGAACGCAGGTCATCACCTAGTAGAACATCATCTAGAACTGAAAACATCAGTGGTTCAACAGGAAGTACCACCATCGCATTATCTACAGATAGATCATCGCCTGGCAGAACACCATCTAGAACTGAAAACATCAGTGGTTCAACAGGAAGTACCACCATCGCCTCATCTACTGAACGCAGGTCATCACCTAGTAGAACATCATCTAGAACTGAAAACATCAGTGGTTCAACAGGAAGTACCACCATCGCCTCATCTACAGATAAATCATCGCCTAGTAGAACATCATCTAGAACTGAAAACATCAGTGGTTCAACAGGAAGTACCACCATCGCCTCATCTACTGAACGCAGGTCATCGCCTAGTAGAACATCATCTAGAACTGAAAACATCAGTGGTTCAACAGGAAGTACCACCATCGCCTCATCTACTGAACGCAGGTCATCACCTAGTAGAACATCATCTAGAACTGAAAACATCAGTGGTTCAACAGGACGTACCACCATCGCCTCATCTACTGAACGCAGGTCATCACCTAGTAGAACATCATCTAGAACTGAAAACATCAGTGGTTCAACAGGAAGTACCACCATCGCATTATCTACAGATATGTCATCGCCAATAATCTCGATAATCACATCTGAAGCATTCCCTAAGCATGGTAAGAATATTTAGACACTTAGCTTAACGGACAATCAAACACCCCTGAGGTGTTGAACACTTTCCAGAATTTTCAAAATATATTGTAATTGTGTTCCGTTTAATTTACGTCAGCTTATAAAAGGGATAATGACACATTTGTTTAAACTGCTGAAAACATTACATTCACCTTTCAAACGACAAACAATTTTGCTTCTGTATCAACGCCTGTCTTGCGTGTTCTACTTAACCCTCTTGATCTGGAGGAGAATGAATACCAAAGACAGTCGTGTATCTTTCTTCCACATAATAAGAGCGTCCCTCAGCATTAAGACATTGGAAGTGGAATCAGAGGAGGTTCATTAAACCGGAAAAGTGGATACATGTGTTTCTAATTTAAGACAACAACGACTCCAGTAAGCGTGTCCACATTATAGTCGGCTCGGTGTGCGGAACTGTCGTTGCTGCAGTAGCTGTCGTCGTAGCTGTATTTGTCTGCAGGAGACGACGAGTGAAGCATAAAGGTAGGAGGTCCACACATGGCATTCTTATCAATTGCATCAATTGTCATGGTAGCATAGTGGTTTAAAGTGTTCGCCCGCTACGTCGAAATGCTGGGTGCTATTCCCTATTCGGGTATAATGTGTGAAGGTGTGATCGGGCTGACTTGTCGCCAAAAGTAATGTAAAACCATGCCCATCCACAAGTATAGGTGCTGACCAACCAAGGACAATGATCAGAGGGATTGAACACACGAGGATCGTTGCACAGATGTCGCGGTGTTATGGGGCCTGCTCGTCAAGTGTCCAGTGATCTTCAACTCACCTGCAGGTTCCCATCACTGTCCAGCTGCGTGCAGCTCGACTTGGAAATGCGTTGTCTACATTTCCTTCTAAGCACTTCCGTCTTGTCCTAAGATTGGCAAAACCACAGGATCTCATTTCCATGTCAACACCTAAGATAGGCAACATACGAACTGCAACTCCTTTTTTGTCATTATTAGGGATAAAGATACACTCCACAGTGTTGACAAAGATTGCTTTGCCGTATATGCTATTGATAATGTATTGGTGGGCGTGTACTATTATGTCCCAGTCTGAACATCAGTGCCACTCCATCTGTTTTAGCTGCAAGTGCTGGTCATGGACACACAAAGGAATCCAAGTATGTCTGCTCTGCAACAATATCTGCCTCCTTGTGCCGAAGTCCCATAAAGTTGTAACTGAATTATATTCGTTCCGTTGTCGATACTAATTCCTCAACCTCTATTTTTCTGATTATATAGAATTATCTATAATCTAACATAAAACACTTTCATTCTGATCTAAAAATTTTTTTGTGCAAACGGTCTTTATTTATCATTATAGTTATGAAGCCAGGAGAGAGAGCAGCCATTCTAACCCGGAGAAGATAGGTATGATACACTTTGATATACCCGCCATTGCTTCTGACAGGCATGGCTACTGTAACCGTATATAAATACGTGAAAATAGTTACATCAGTTTAAACGTCATATGTTATCATGCACATACTATTTTATTAATATGAATACTTCCATACATTATATTTTACCTCATATTTTGAGTTAAATGTTTGCTAATATTCATCGGTGTCCAACATATTCCACTACGATGCTTCTGGTTAAATTCAAGCAAAGTGACAGCGACCTGTAAATAATCATGTTTGAATCACACAATCCAGTGATCGCTGTAGTCGATCATTTGTTCTGACACGGAATGCCTCCTTGGTATCCCACACAATGAGGGGTGTCAAAGATTATGAAAACGTTCTAGTTAAAAGTGTTTCCTGGACAACCCATCTTTCCGAGGCAAGGAAGATAGGCAACTACAAAAGTCCAGCTTCCAGTAGAACTAGGCTTGAAGTATGGAGGTATATTTTGGACTTTCTATGCATAGTCCATTTAAAATCGCGAAAGGAAACTGACATACCAGTCATAAACAACATGGCGACTACAGTGGTTATTTCTGTCGACTGCAGGACTTACAGGGCATGTACCGTTAACTGGGCGTCGACAGATATACTCAAAATCATTGCATGGTGCACTTATCAGATCATCTGGACTGACATCGCCATTTTTGTGAAGCATTGTGTAGATAGGCAACAAACGAACTGCAACTCCTTTTTGTCAGAATTAGGGATAAAGATACACTCCACAGTGTTGACAAAGATTGCTTCCCTCCTACATTGTACGTGCAATGAAGTCACATCCCAAGCCGTTACATCTTCCTCTGTATCCGTCGTGTAAATCTCAAACAGCTAAAAGTAACAGCTCGGGGGACATACACGGGTGATAATTCTCAATAGCCACTGATTGCGTTACGACTGAGCTAGAAAATTCCCGTCTTGTTCGGTAGGGATGGAATCTGGACTTTAACTGTCAGTTACCTCCCTTGCCTCGGGACGATAGAATAGCCAAGCTATAACAGTATGTTCACGATCACAATTTCAGTAATGCAGGACAACGACTTGTATATGAGGTCCTCTGAAGTGTTCCCTCCTGATCTGTCACCAAGTCTTGAGAAGGCTGATGTCACAGGTGAGACATTTCCTAACAACTTTGGCTCCTCATCAGATTATTAACCTTTCCTTAATGTTAAAAATCCAGCCATTCAATACAAGTTTGCTAACCCGGACATCCCAAAAGCACAAACATGGTTCCCTGTAGTTTTACTTGAACACGTTAGAATTCCTTTACAAATTATTGTTTTTCGATTTCAGAAGTGTATTCCAAGGTAAACAAAGGACACGTTGAAGGAACAGAGTTGTCAACACCATTGTGAAGGTGTAACACAGACAGACGTCTCGATGTCAAAGACCTGAGTCACGTAGGGCATCCCTCCTACATTGTACGTGCAACGAAGTCGCATCCCAAACCCTTACATCTTCCTCTGTATCCGTCGTGTAAATTACAAACAGCTAAGAGTAACAGCTCGCAGTCACCTAACTCGGATCGCATCGAAGTGATCAAAACTTTTTAAAAAAAGGTGAAACAAGATGGATGGAGCTTCTGTAGTATGTGAGCGACACGGCGTGTAGGGGTATCAATTCCAAAGCGTCATGTTTCTCGTATTGCAGGAGTTGACATCCCTTATATCTCACCTTGAGTGTGTGTCACATCTAAGAGCCATTCAAAGTTTCTATAATTATGTTTATCGTTTGCAGAAGGTTATTTCTCGAAAAGTGCAATTTGCAATTGTGGTCAGTTGATCAAGGGACAATATGCAATTTTGAACACCGACAATATTGATATTTTAACAGTTCAGTTTAGACTTGGGCCGTGGAGTTGTATACTTGTCTTGTGCACTACCCACAGAACTGAAACTTCACCATTGATCGGGAAAATAATAGTGTCAACAAACACTAAGTGTGCGGAACATGAGCCAGTATTAATATACTCTTTGTTATTTTCATCATCCATGTGTTCCTAAGTTATCGAATGTTTAATTTTCCAATTTTACTTCCATGTACGTTATACGCTACTAATATTTTCCAAATAAATTGTAATTATGAACATTTTGCCGTTTTAGATGTGTTTCAGGAACATTTGTTGTATTTAACTTTCTGTCATAAGTGGCAGTCAGTACAACAAATCAATATCAATGACATATCAACAGTGCTCGCCGTGGTTTCTAGACAAACTTCACACAATGTCTGGAATATGACAATCCGTGTAGAATAGGTTTGTTCATTAACATCCGTTGACTCCTCCACTTGGCCATCCGGAGCTAATTGTCATCAGGGTTACCTTAGCTATTCCTAACGTAAAGTATTTTCAGTAACCCATGCTTGTCCAGTGAGGCGACTAACGAGATCGGGTGGTCAGGCTCGCTGACTTGGTTGGTGCAAGGCATTGTGTCCCAACTGCGTAAATCATTGCTCATAATACCAATCACTGGATTGTCTGATCCAGACTCGAATATTTTAAAGTAGTATACTACTTTTTAACGTCAATAAGCTGGAACATTGCAAAGTGCGGAGGTATTAAACCCTTTTCCTTATCTATTACTCATTTGTCTACTGAGTGGCTTCAAGGGCGAGACGACGAATGAGTCCAAACATGGCGTCTGCGTCCCGACTTATTACAAAGGGAGATGTTGCTGCAATACAGTTGTATCCTAATCCTTTGAAGATCGCAGTGGGGTATTCGTTTACCGTGACGTCACACCGAAATGACAGCGCCAATCCTTCTCCCACTGACACTGGTTGGCTGCACTGTTTACACGCACGGTACTGATCAAATCTGTATACACCGCGAAAAAGGTCGACTGGTCCGTTGGTTGTACCTACATGTGATATCCATGTCGATTATCTGTCTGCAGTGAACCATCACATCGTATCTCACTGTCTGAAGTGAACAAACACAATGTATATTACTGTCTGCAGTGACCTAACACATCGTATGTCACTGTCTGAAGTGAGCAAACACAGTGTATATCACTGTTTGTAGTAAACGAAGACAATTTGTATCACTGTCTGTAGTCAACGAACACAACGTATATTACTATCTGTAGTCAACGAACACAACGTATATTACTGTCTGTAGTCAACGAACACAATGGATATCACTGTCTGTAGTCAACGAACAAAACGTATATTACTGTCTGTAGTCAACGAACACAATGTATATCACTGTCTGTAGTCAACGAACACAATATATATCACTGTCTGTAGTCAACGCACACAATGAATATCACTGTCTGTAGTCAACGAACACAATGTATATCACTGTCTGTAGTCAACGGACATAATGTATATCACTGTCTGTAGTCAACGAACACAATGGATATATCGCTGTCTGTAGTCAACAAACACAATGGATATATCACTGTCTGTATACGTAGTCAACGAGCATAATGGATATATCACTGTCTGTAGTCAACAAACACAATGTATATCACTGTCTGTAGTCAACGAACACAATGTATATCACTGTCTGTAGTCAACGAACACAATGTATATCACTTTCTGTAGTCAACGAACACAATGTATATTACTGTCTGTTGTCAACGAACATAATGTATATTTCTGTAGTCAACGAACACAATGCATCTTGCTGTCATCAAGAATTACCAACTCATTTTACAGATGGGACGAACGCTGCTTAGCTAACGCCGTGCCGAACACATGCTGTATGAATGTGGCTTTCCGTGTCCTTCATGTGAATTCCACCAACTTGATGGTATGTTGATTATAACTGATATTATGTCAGATCGTCTGAAGCGGACGTAATAGTTCCCATACCACGTATGTGTCGACCAACGCCACAAAGAAATGGAACAGTGTGTGTACCTCGCACTCGTTAGGCGTCGGATAAAGTCATCAGTTACAGTCCGTTTGAGTCAGAACGGCTTCAGCTCGGAAAAAAATCTTACACTTTAATCGTCAACTGTTTCACGTCAGCATTCAACTTCATTTTTCATCAGGCATGTGTATCCCGTGCACGACGAGATAGTGTCTGTTCCGTTTCTGCGGTTTCACCCCGCCGCGACACATAACAACTTTTGCGTTTTCAATGATGATAGTTTCTTGAACAACTTTTTTGGTGGAGTCCGGAAAATTTTCAAATATAAGAAAGCTGTTGGGTATTAGTAAATGATAAACGTGTACTATTTATATTTCTGTGGCAATTTTGTACAATGATAAAATTTGCAATTCATCGGTTCGTTTCTGACTCAAACGGACTGTAATCGGGCACAATTTGACGACTCCTATGTCACTACGATCATATCAGTGGGTAAGTCAGCTTTTAAGCCGATATCAGCAATGTTCCGGCAATATCAGGATTGGAACACAGGAATTCGCTTCTCACATCGTCCCGCATGTAGGGTTACGGTGTGACGAGCACCAGGCTACGCAACTTTACTAACAGAAATAAGTAACAGTGCATAAGTAACAAAAAACTTGTATAAAATAAAAGGTATTTGAAACGTTATAAAAATAACCCTTAATAAACATGTAACAAGGCACTTTTCATGACATTTGATGTTACGTATTGCGCATGGCACGTGTACTTTGCTTTTTGACACCTGAAGTTCACACACCTGATACTGGAACTTGAAGAACGCTTGGTTATTGTCTAGCCATTGAAGGTTGTGGAACACGTGTTAAATTCAACCTAAACTGCGCGTACGTCAAGCCACGGCTTACAGAAAATCAGCGTCTCCGCGCACGCCGTGGGTATGCTGGAGACTGGAATGGCTCAAAATGAAGTGTCCAGACATTTTGGTGTGGACCGAAACACGATCTATAGAGATGTTTTCAACATGGGAACAAGAGAACATTTGCCTCGGACCGACCGTCCGCGCGTAATGTCACGTCAGCAAGGCAAAACCACATTCGACTTACCCATCTAAGGAATCGATTCCAGACTGCCAGTTTGACTGCTCGGATCATTGTTCCAGGTCTGTACGAACCCGACTGAGGGAGCACAACATCCAGCCCCGACGGCCTTACGAGTGGAGATTTCATCTGGACAGCTCAGATTGGAGGCAATGGTGTACAGACGGCGAGGTGAGCGGTATGCTGATGCGTGCGTTATTCAACGTCGAGAGTTTGGTGGCGAAAGTGTCATGGTATGGGGGAACATCATATCTCATGGTCGGACACAATCTGGCAGGTCTGTGATGCAGGGATGAGGTCATTGAGCCTCATGTGCAGCCGTTCATTCAAGGACAGAGACGTAACTTCACGCTTCAGCAAGATAATGCCCGTCCACATGTGGCTCGTGTTTTGACAGATTTCCTGAGACAGTAGAACATTCCGGCAGTCCCCTGGCCAGCTGTTTCTCCGGACCTGTCCCCTATCGAGCACGCTTGAGATGAAATGTACCAAATTTTACGTCAAGCCCAGAATCAGACACTGACATTAGCGGAATTGTGACAAGCATCGATTCAGTCATGGAACAACATTCCCCAAGCTTTCTTCAATCGCGTAGTGTCGTCTATGTGTCGTCGTTGTCAAGCCTGCATCAACACCAATGGTGGACACATCCGATACTGAATTTATGAACTGACTTTTGGCATCACATCTCTTCAAGGGCGTGTCACGATGCCTAATGTCAAATCATACAGATTTCAATATTATCCTGTCAACAGTTAGACAGTTATTATCCTTTTGCATAACAAATGGCATAACATCAAATAATGGACAGTAAATATATTCCAGTAATGCACAGTTAATTTATTCCAGTAGTATATAACCGGGTACTCATTGACTTCAGTGTCCGCCTAGGAATAAACTAACTAGTCGCAATATACTAGAAGTCAGGACGTTGAAAACTAAAAAACATTGTTGCAGGACTTGAATCTTTCGAATTCTGCCTTTAGTTGAACCATGTCAGAATTGCAAAACCCTACTCTAAACACGACCCTTAAATGTGCAGCTCTTTAAAATTGATAGTGTAATGAAAATATGCGTCATGTGTACTACCAGCCCCGAGAAACACGTAACTGTCGGTGGATTGAAATTCTATGATGACACCTTCACCCTCAACATGCTTGTTGAAGTTCGGGTCATAGACTTACTTGCCGAAACTTTCTTACTTTGACAAACGGGTTCGAATTCCGGTCATGTTGATTATCACAGATCCTGACCAGAGGCTGTCACAGGCAATCAATCAAGTCACAGATCCTGACCACAGGCTGTCACAGGGAATCAACCAAGTCACAGATCCTGACCACAGGCTGTCACAGGGAATCAACCAAGTCACAGATCCTGACCACAGGCTGTCACAGGGAATCAATCAAGTCACAGATCCTGACCACAGGCTGTCACAGGGAATCAACCAAGTCACAGATCCTGACCACAGGCTGTCACAGGGAATCAACCAAGTCACAGATCCTGACCACAGGCTGTCACAGGGAATCAACCATGTCACAGATCCTGACCACAGGCTGTCACAGGGAATCAATCAAGTCACAGATCCTGACCACAGGCTGTCACAGGGAATCAACCAAGTCACAGATCCTGACCACAGGCTGTCACAGGGAATCAATCAAGTCACAGATCCTGACCACAGGCTGTCACAGGGAATCAACCAAGTCACAGATCCTGACCACAGGCTGTCACAGGGAATCAACCAAGTCACAGATCCTGACCACAGGCTGTCACAGGGAATCAACCAAGTCACAGATCCTGACCACAGGCTGTCACAGGGAATCAATCAAGTCACAGATCCTGACCACAGGCTGTCACAGGGAATCAATCAAGTCACAGATCCTGACCACAGGCTGTCACAGGCTGTCACAGGGAATCAATCAAGTCACAGATCCTGACCACAGGCTGTCACAGGGAATCAACCAAGTCACAGATCCTGACCACAGGCTGTCACAGGGAATCAACCAAGTCACAGATCCTGACCACAGGCTGTCACAGGGAATCAACCATGTCACAGATCCTGACCACAGGCTGTCACAGGGAATCAATCCAAGTCACAGATCCTGACCACAGGCTGTCACAGGGAATCAACCAAGTCACAGATCCACAGGGAAGTCACAGGCTGTCACAGGGAATCA